TGCATGCGAAAAAAGTGGGCCATAGTGCAGTAGAATGAGCTGTACTTCATAGTGCATATACATAATCTTTCATGCTCCCCACACCATTGGATTCAACGCAGAAGTGTAGCCTCCTTTTGGGGTCGTTTGCATAGCCAGCAGAGTGGCCTGGCACTCTGAGAGACTCCAGGGTGGCAGGATGCTGGAGACAGGAGACAGGAGACAGGAGACAGACAGCAGATAGAAGGTTGAGCAAAAAGTAGATATCATATAATTTTAGTTATATCCCTGCTGCTTATTTCTATCTTCATCTTGACAGCGTTTTAATAAAATTCCCTCCTTGTCGAGTATCTGTGTCGGATTTGGTGGGTTGTGGAGGTGACCCGGGGTAGCTGCGGTACGAGTATCTGTCAGATACAAGACGACACTCATTGGGGTTCATGTTGCTGATGCTCCTTCCGCTCCTGCTCCTGCTCCCGCTCCTGCGGCTGCTGTTGGTGCTCCTGCTTCATTTTGGCCACATGCTGTGTGCACACTTTGACACGAAGTGCACTAGCTGCAGCCGCCACAAGCAAAACTCCCCTGCTGCGCCCCTTTCGCCACTTCACTCCCACTACTCTCAGCCACTCCTCTCTCCCACTCTCACTCCCACTCCCACTCCCACTCTCTCGTTCTCCCTCCCTTTGTGGCACCTCCTGCTACTTGTCGCTGTTTTCTTTTGAGACTTACACGACATGGCATGGTCCCCATGGCCCACTCTGACCCGAAAAAGTTGTCTTCTTGCGTGCATTTTAATTTGGCAATAAGCGTGCCTCTCACCACCGCCCTTTTACCTTGCCACAAACCCCACGCTGTTCCGCTGTCCCCTCTGCCATGCCATGCCACACTCCCCGCTTGACGACAAGCGGAATATTATAATTAATGACTCAAGGAACAACAAAACAACAAAACAAAAACACACACAAAAAAGTAGAGGATGAATAAAAAAGTTTCAGGGCGCCACAAAATTTGTTTTGCCGTGGCACAAAAATTTCAATTAGTGCTCCGACCTCTACTCATTAGCATATATATGGAGAGAGAGAGAAAAAAGGAGCGATAGAGCGAGAGAGAGAGAGTGTGTGCAACGTGCAGCGTGGCAGCGTGGCAGCGCGCATACAACGTGCCACAAGAACCGAGCAAACACAGCAGAATGAAATGCTGTAAAATGCAATGAAGCGAATGAAATGAAATGAAGAAATTCAAGTGAACTGAAATTAAATGACATAAAATGACTCCAGAAGACTCCTGTGACATTCTATCCATTGAGAATAGTTGATAAATATTTGTTGCCCTCAAAGGACACTGGAAACGCAACAGAAAAAGAGGAAGAGAGGGAGAGCGAGAGCGAGAGAGAGACTGAGATGAAGCCATTTCTCTGATGAAAATTAAGAACATTTCGCAAAAACTGTGTCTGTATAAGAGAGAAGTGCACTGCAGTGGACGAGAAGTGCACATCATCGGGTTTGGAAATTCGATTTTATCTGCAGACCCTTAAACTCACACGGTAATGCTGCTTACACTGCTTGAAGGGACAGACGGGGGGGATAGGGGATGGGGACTGTGGACTGTGGACAGGGCACTGTGGACTGGGCCCCTTTGTCCTTGGCCAGTAGTTCGTTTTGATTTGCCAAACACTTTATCACTTAATGTTCGTTTGTGGCAGCTTACTTTTTATACCTCTCTCCCTCAGTCTCTCTCTCTCTATCTCTCTCTGTCTCTCTATTATATACAGATCAAGATATACATATGTATTGCAAACATATATACACACTGCCACTGCCACTCCCTTACAGACATTGTCTGTCGCTGTTGGCTCCTTTTGCGGCTGGGCCAACTCTCTTGTTAAGTGAAACAATTGAATTGTTAACTGAACAATAAAGTATTTTAGTATTATTAGATTTTTGCTGGATCCAGCATTTCCCCCAGTAATACCCACTCTGCCAAGTTCCCGTCTCATTCCCATTCCCTTTTGTCACATCTTTCGCGCGTCCCTTTTGTCGCTTATCCCGGGCCCTAAGTGCCTCTTTCGGCTCTGATACGGCTGATATCGTCGGTCGGTGCTTCTTTTTTTTCTTTTACTTTTTTTGGCTGCTGTCTCGAGTAGATTTCCAAACATATTTCTTTACTCTTGTTATATGTCATTTGTATTATGTTCGCTTATTCTGCCTGCCTGCCCGACTGACTGACTGACTTTGGTGGCATTCTCTTCCTGGTTGGTTCGCATTTGTTCGTCTTGGCTTCTTTGTTGCTGTATTGCCAAAGCCATTTAGGTTTTTGAATTTATGGCCATTTTGCGTTTTGTGGCTCTTTTTCAAATGCTCTGGCAATTTATGTTTTCTGGCCTTTGACGCCCGCCCTCCCCCAAACTCAACCAGAAAACCAGAACCCACTCTCACCCTTAGCGACCTGCCACTGTCTCTGATTTCGAGTAGGTATATGTGATTTACGAGCACGAGTCGTAGAAAAATAAAATCCTAAGCGAAGTCCAAGTCCAATCAAAAGCCTAAAAAAATGCCAAAAAAAAAAACTAAAATGAAAATCAAGGAATTTTTGTTTTTTTTTTTTTGCTACTTTCAGTGAAAAATGGTTACATAGTGTTGTACACGTAGGAAAATTGGCATAAAAAGGGCAATGTATTTATACGATTGATGTACAATGTTGCAACAGGTACTTCAATCCATTGCAATGGCTTTAAGTTTTCCAAGCAGGTGACTTATTCGTGAGTTAATTTCCAGCAGGGCAAAAGATTTATCCATCGAGACCATCAAATATGCCAAACGGAACGCGGGAATTAGCAGAGCCAGCGGATATTGGGAATTGTAATCTTCAGATGATGGCCAGGATGAACACCGCACACACACACACACACACACACAGACAGGAGCAATCAGCCGAGGCACGTAAACAGCTCGGGAGATTAAAGAGGAAATCTGTGGGGGTAAAATCAGCGATGGCAGCGGACGAGTGCGAAGAGCATCAGGAATCCTAGTAAGCAATTGAATGGAAGGCAATCAACAGGCAACTGGCAACTGGCGACTGGCAACTGGCATCCCGAATGCTGGCAACACATTGTTGGCGGGCAAAAATTTAATTGAAATGCTTGAAATGCGACAGTGTGGAAAAATGCCAGAAAGACAGGACCCATAGAGACAGCGACTGCTTTTATGCGGGAGTATGCTAAGCGATGTGCAAGAAAAATATGTCAGGGAAAAAGGAAAAAACAAAAAGAAACGAATAGTAAAAAGAGCAAAGGGAGAAATCAAAAAAAAAAAAGAAGAGAGAAAGAAGGAGAGAGAGCAGGAGAGTGAGAGAGAGATGGTCGAAAAAGGGCAAGGAAACATGGCCGAGCGCCTGGCGTCGATACAAAGACAACTTTTTAATGCCATTCAACAAAGTTGTGATCGCTCTTGTACCATAGTCTGTGCAGTGCTGTGCTGTGCTGTGCTGTGCTGTGCTGTCCTCTCCTTGGCTGGACACACGGTACACATAAAGGGCGTACTGCCGTAAAGGGCCAAAAGCGTCGAAGCAATCGAGACACCATCCCCCCCACCCGCCACCCACCGGAGCCGAAGCTGAGTGAACCAGAAAGTCAAAAATAAAAAATAAAAAAAAAAAACTTTTGATGAGCTGGAGAAGTTGCATGGCATGGTCCTTGCCGTTCTCGTTGCTTTTATTATATTTGCGGCACGTCCTTGAAGCGCTTGCCTCCCCCCAGCTAGACACCCAACCCCAGTCAGAAGGACAGAGGCAGGACAGTCGGGACAGAAAGACAGAAAGACATGCAGACCGATGGACAGTCTGAAGTAGTTCTTGAGTATCTCCATCTGTGTGCATCGTTTGCCATTTTGTTTGCGAATTTATTTTACTGACGGATATTCGCTTTTATTTATCGTAATCCTGAATTCTGATATTGCTGTACAGGAATTAAGCGAAGAAAGGAAAACTAATCAAATTGTAATCTCGCTCTCGTCCTGTGAATGCCTCTTCTTCATATGATATTCATTTGGTTTTTAACAGAATTTATATTGGCCAGGTCCCAGGTCCTGCCTGTGTGCTGTGTGCAGGCAGTTATGCTCGAATTGAATAATATATTTCCCAGCCATGGAGTGGCAGCACTCACACTCACACCTTCTCCAACCCCCGTAACAAAAAAGGAGTAACAGAAATAGAAATGGAAACAGCAACAGAAAATGTGGCATTTTGTGTTGCATTTTGAAATGATTTTTCCATTTCATTGTAGTTACAACTCGAATCATCGAATCATCCATTCATGCATCCATTTTCTGTTGCTGTTGCTCATGCCTCATTTGAGGCAATTACGTACACACAGCAGAGAGCAACGGCAACAAAAGGGTACATACGCGCGGTGAGTGGGGTGGGGAGGCACGGGCACTCTACAGACCATCAATTATCCTTCAAATGGGAGATGAGAATGTTGGCCCTGGCCCAGGCCCCTTTCGCTTTGATACGAGGCAATCCAACCAAATAATGTAATACACCCACGTACATATGTAGGAGACCTGTATTATGCTCAAATTAAGTTCCGAATTTGGCATCAGTCGATACGGATTGTTTCACTCCACTGGCGGCAAGCCACCAAATCAATCAAATCAAATCAATTTTTGAGCTATGCAGGTAATTGACATTAAAATGGATTAGCACCATTCGCTATCGCTATCGCTATGGCAATGGATTCGATTGCATTCGATTGGATTGAATTGAATGGAATTGATTTGGCTTGGCTTGGCTTGGATTGGATTGGATTGATTTCATTTGATTTGATTGGTTTCGTGTGTCACACGATTCGATCTGATACGCTGGATAATTGCATTGCATCGGAGCCAGAGCACAGCCAAGTGTTCGAATTTTAATGATTTTACAAGCGAATGAAAATCAATTAAACAACAGTCAAAATTGGGCTCAGACAACGGGGAATTCGTTTGGTCAAAGGATGAAAAGAAAATGAATGTTTTGCTACTCACATAACCAATTCATGCGCTCAGTGTACTCGACCTTGCGCTTGAGATCCTTGACCAGGGCGCGGAAATCGTCATCGTTGAAGTGACACTGGATGATCGTGTTGTTCAGTTGTAGAATGCTGTACTCGTTGTTGCCGTTGCCGTTGCCATTGCCGTTGCCGTTGCCATTGTTTGAGGCTGCCGCCGCGGCAATGGTGGCCATGGCGCCCTGGGCCCCGTTCAGGGTATTCGACTCGATGTCCGTGGCACTGGCGCGCATCTGATTGGTGACTCCCACGCCAACACCGACGCCAACGCCGACACCGACGCCCACACCAATGCCCATGCCCAAGCCGTGGGCATCGCCATCCACATTGCTGCAGGATTTGCTCAGAATGATGGTGGCTCGATTGGCGATCGAGTTGGCCGCGAGCAGATGCTCCCCGGCGGCGCCGCAGCTGCCGCGATGGAACGGCAGCTTCCCCGTGGCCGTGGCACAGTTGTTGTTCTTCAGCGTGATGCAGTGCAGCTGATTGGAGAGCGCCGCCTGGGCGGCCTGCACCGCCGAGCAGTCGCTGGCACGCCGCCGGCGGGGATTGTCGCTGCCGTCGGGCAGGCTGGTGGGCTGCAAGTAGGAGGCGGCGCCGCTTGTGGCCGCCCCGAACGCCTGGCTGGTGGAGCTGCCGGGCAGCTGGTTGTCCGGGCTGCTCACTGGCATGTTCGACATGGACGTGGACATTGTGAGGGCCAGACCGGTGTTGGTATTGGTATTGGTATTGGGGGTGTTGATGGTGGTGGTGGTGGTGGTGGTGGTGTTGTTGTTGTTGTTGGAGATGTTGTTGCAGTTGTTGTTGGTGGTGTCCGGGGAGTTGCAGGCACGCTGGTGCCGAATGACGGTCAGCTTGCAGCGATGCTGGTCCTGGTCCTCGTAGAACTGGATCAGCAGCTCCTCCAGCAGATTGATGGGGGTGCTGGTCGAGGCGAACGACTGCGAGGCGGAGGCCGAAATGGACACGGAACCGGAAACAGTGGCTGCCGCGCCGCTAAACGTCGAGCTGCTCGAGGACTTGCGACGCACAGTGGTTGTCGTGGTTGTAGTTGTTGTTGTTGTTGTGGTTGCTGTTGCTGTTGTTCCTGTTCCTGCTGGCGTGGTGGCTGTAACCTCAGGCTGCTCCAACGGATCCTCGTTTGGTGACGACTCCTCCTCGGGCTCCTCCTCCTCCTCGAGGTCGCTGCTGCGACTGCGACTCCGACTCTGACTGTGACTGCTGGCCGCCTCGATGCTGCTGCTGCTGCTGTTGCCCGCAAGCGGCGGTGCTGCTGTCTGCTGGACAGCTGCCCCAACGGCCACTGCGGCAGCGGCCAAAAGCAGGGCGCGCTCGCGCTCTTTGCCCGGATCGAAGATCGAGTGCTTCAGCAGGATCTCCTGCAGCTGGCGACGCTGGCGACGAGCGCTGTACGGATTGACCAGATGAAAGTCGCCGTAAAACTTGGACAGGCCACGGACCCGCGATGCTATATAGCCGATCTTGCGCAGCAGCCGCACATCGGCGCCTAACGCGGCGGCGGCGGCTGTTGACTGTTGCTGATGCGAATGTGAATGCGGATGTGGATGCTGGAGCTGCTGGTTGTTGCCACGTTGCAGCACGGCATTGCCACTGCCACTGCCACTGCTGGTGCTGCTGTTGCTGTTGCTGTTGCCGGATGATCCCTGTGCCGTCTGGCAATCGATCTCAATGTACTCAAGACACTCCTCGCTCTCGCTCTCCGCCAAGCTGCTGTCCTCGATGTCGCTGCTCGTTGCAGCAGTTGCAACCTTAGCTGTTGCTGCCCACTGCGGCTGTTGTTGCCGTTGCCGTCGTTGTGGCTATGACAGTTGTGGTTGTGGTTTTCGCTTTGGCCGTTGCCGTGGTGGCAGCCGCATTGATTTCGGTCTCGGTTATGGTCGTGGTGATTATCGTGAGTGTCTCGAGGGTTTCCTCGTCGCTGCTGCTGTTTGCTGTTGCAGCGCCTGCTGCAGCGCCTGTTGCTGCTGCTGCTGCTGCTGCAGCTGCTGCTGCTGCTGCTGCTGCACTGGTGCTGCCACGTCGACTGCTACTGCTGCTGCAGCCGCTGTCCTGGTACATTTATAGGCAACCCTCGCGAACCCTTTTTGCCTTTTTTTTTTTCTCTTGTTCTCTGTTTGCCGCGCGGCTCGCTCGCTCACCCGCTCGTTTACACTCTCGCTGCTGTCCGCTGCTTTAATTGTTATTAATTTTTTTTTCTTGATATTTTCCCGTATTTGTATTTGATTTGCTGCTACTGCTGCTGCTGATGCATAAATTAATTTTGAGCTGGCACTAAGGATCTCTCTTCCTTTTCTGCGTTGAGTCTGTTTTTTTTCCGCCGTTTTCTGTATTTTTTATGAGGCTGGCGCCTTTTTATGGCCGTTTCTTTTGTTACTTGCAATTTGTTTTTGATGTTTTTAATGCCACGGCAGCAAAGTTATGCAAATTTCCCGCGTAAACAGAACGGAACAGAACAGACCGTAGAACGCGTATCGCGTATTGCGTATACGCACTGGTTGCCGCTGCTCAAATCAATTCAGTGGAAAAGTTGCCGCCACGCGCATTTTTTGGGCATGTCAACCTCTTACACCATCCACTCGCTACTCTCTGCTCTCCACCTCCTAGTCTCCACTCCACACTCTCCAGTCACCACTCGCGTGACTCTAGCGCTTTTCTTTGCTATTTTCCACCAGCTTGTTGCTGTTGTGTTTTACATTTTATTGTATTTTAATTTGCATTATTCAACTGTTTGTCTGCTTCGCCAGTTATATGCCTCTCCTCTCTCCCTCTCCCTCTACCACTCTTCGCCACGGTCTCCGGTATCCCGTCTCCCGTCACCGGTCGGTGGGCGGATGGGTTTTGTGTGGCTGGGGCTTTGGGGTGGCGCCACTTCCGTTTCCGTTTGGCAACAATTCCGTTTGACGCTAACAAATCTGGAAAAAATGAGGTAAATGGGAAATATTTATGAGATTTTGAGGGAACGAAACCAAAGGACTAGCAAGTAATTCCATTCCTAATTAATACATAGAGCCCACAAACGAAAGATTTTACATTTTACATGCTAAAGGTTTAACATTAAAGCCCACATAAATATTGAAAGCAGACAGGGAATTTGCGGCAGCCCAAGACTAACTTTTGTGCAGCCTTATCTATGATATATCTATATCTATATATATCTATTTTTTTGATATTTAAAATAACTTAAAATCACTTTAATTTGGAATAATTGTAAGAAACAGTGGCCATTGATTTTAAAAACAATGGAAATTATATAAAACTTAATTGATCTGATTGATTTTTATATATATTTATTATTAATAGACCATATATTAATATATAATTATTAATGATATATTTAACTACATTCATATGTATAAACATAAAAAAAAGTTTGAAAATATCTTTTTTGTTTGTGATTTAACCCATTTGGCAATTTTCTGAGAGAGATGGAATAATCGATGGAATATTTTTTGAATTAGGTGTAAGAGGATAATGAAGCAAAACAAATTGGTAATAGTTCGAACTTGGTGGCGCTGGTAAGTGAAATATCACCAAGAAAATTTTTGCCCTTTAAAATCTTCAAATGGTTAGCTAATATAAAGCCTAGCACTCAAACAAGGTCGAACTTCAAAAGGAACAAAGGAAAAAGTGTTCCGGGGTCCGCTTCCAAAATGTATTCTCGATTTTATATTCGGTGAGCTGTAGACGCTCTTCCAGGCGCTTAATTTGGGGATTGATTTAACTGCTTATGCCCCATTGTCCCTTGTTTTTCATCGAATATTACATTAAATCAGTGACAGGAAATGGTAGGCCGAATGGGGTGAAAATAGGAGTACAAATAAGCAAATTGGATTAATGGATAAATATCGAGACCAAGAATCCGAGGCAGACACGGATACATATATCGATGCAGATGCAGCCTGTAAATGCAGTGTAAATATTTTATGAAATATATTTGCTGCATTGTGGTTCGGTCGGTCGGTTCGGTCGATGGATCTACAGTGGGTCCTGCGTTTATTCGTGTTCCTGTTCTGTCTCGTGTCTGTGTAGTGACAATCGATTGAAATGTTCAGTAAATGTGTGGCCATATATGGCAGAGCGATGTGGCGTGGGTGTGGCTGGTGATTGTTGGTTCTTGGTTACCATATACCACGATACGAGAACGACAACGAAAACGAGTACGAGTAGGAGTAAATGGCAAACCCAGACACAGACACCGACACAGAAACAGAACCGCTGGACACTGGACTTTACGATCCCAATAAGCAGACGTTCGCCGACCGCAGAGACAAAGGCGTTGTCCCAATGGTGGTGGGGCTTATGGTGCTGCAGCTGCAACTGCAATGGCTCTGTGGGACGCTACTGAAGGTTGGCCAACTGCACAAAGCTGTGGCATGTGGCAGGCGGTCATCAGCAGAAGTAGAAGCAGAAGCAGCGGCAACAACTGTCGACGACGTTGACAATGACAGCAAATGTCAAACAGTTTCTGTCCCACCCACCAACACCACCACCCCCAGTGCACGCTCTCACGCTGCTAGTAGATGTATTCCCGCAATTTCCCTGGATCCTGGACCTCGCTTAAGTGCACTGTACCTTTCTTTCTCACTCTCTCTCTCTCTCTGGCTGTCTCCCTGTCTTTCTCCCTGTCTCTCTTTTCGTTCATCTGTCAATCAGTTTATCTGTCTCCTTTGTTTGTCTGGCAGCAACTCGTGTGCAAGTTCCACAATGCAGCACAGAGACAAAAGACTGCAACATACCAGTGGCAGTACCAGTACCACTGACAGTGGCTGCTCCTTTGGACCTCTGTCTGTACTGAACTGCAATTGACGAGGGGGCTTGGGCAGTGCTCTGGAATGTGGGGATGCCTTCGCAAAGCCCCCGAATGCCTTTTGAATGCATCACTGATTTCACTGATTTCCGGGGGCCAGCAGACGGACGGACGGAATACCAAAACATTGTTCAGACGCACAAATTGTAATCAATGGCCCAAGGACTAAGGCTATTAAAACGTTTAAATAATATCCTAAGCTTCCCACAGAGTCCGTCCCTGAAGCCAGCTAATTAATTATATACCTCTCATCCCCCTCACCACATCATGTGTCGCAGCAGAGCAAAATTCGAACTCTATATGTATGTTGCTTTATTTATTTTATTTGTTTATTTTGGATTTCATTTCTTTCATCAGCTAGTTTTTAGCCTGTGCTGCACACTCATTTCCAGGCTCATAGCAGACACACAGATTGCTCTGGGAGCAGGGGGGCATGGTTGGGGTAAGGGAAATCCCATTCCCATTCCCATTTCAGCATTTTCACTTGAAAATTCCGAACGCATTGCGAACAGCTAACGTGGCGTATCCGCTCGTGCGTTCCGTTTCTGATATTCGGACGATTCAGCAGCAGAGGAGTGCCAGGGCGGCAGGGCAGGGCAGGTCTACTGAAGAGGCATGGCAAAATAAGTGGAAAGTCGCAGATGGGTGGTCCAGCCACCATTCACAGCTGTGGCTATTGGGTGGGGGAGTGGAGTGGAGTGGAGTTTGGCGGCAGAAAGTCGAAAACAGTTTGGAAAGATTTCAACTTTGTTGCATCTAATTATGAGGCAATTTGATTAGGGGCTCATAAACAAACAAGGCAACGGGCACAGGCACACACAAGCACACACATACACGCACACTCACGCACATATAGGAGTGTCAATATGAAGCCGCAGGTGGCGCAATTGCCACCGCTGTCATGGCTGACAAAACGCAAACGCAAACAGAAACCGCCACGAAGGCGGCAAAACGCGGCCTTGTTCCCAAAAACCCAACGCCACCCAACAACCCACAACCCATGCCCATGCCCATGCCACACCCTCCCCAGCCATTTGCCCGTACCCACAGGAAAACCAGCAAGAAAGCCTCAGCCCTGAATGTTGGGTTGGCCAACTGTTGAATGGTGAATGGTGAATGGCGGGCAACGAAATTTTTTGGGTGTTCGGCCATTTTGCTGCTGTTGTTGTTATTTGAATTTTATTTATTTACCGCGACTGCAAGCCAAAATGAAATGTTTTTAATAAGCTACGGGTTGGCAGGCCACCGCCACCCCCCATCCCCATCCCCACCCAAACTCCAAACTTTGCCCACTTTCCACATCTTCTGACCTTCTGCCACCAAAAAAAGAAAAGCGAAAAAGGGAAATTGGGAAAGTGGCTGTTGCCCTCAGACTGTGCGGCATGTCATAAAATGTCATATTAAAGCGAACCTTTTCGTGCTTTTATTTAAAATTGAATGCAGACCAAAACATGTGACACGCATTAACGCAGCTTTAACGGCCAGTAAAATATTATTCATTAAATGCTCTTTCTTGGAATGAACCAATTCGGAGTTATAATGCATGTGTACATATACTTTAATTGAACACTTTTAACCAGAGAATATTACACAATTTTCTGCTGCAAAAAACTGCCTTGCCAATTGCTTTGCATATGTTTGAGCTCACACAGAATGCATCGCATAAGTCAATACTATTAAGACGGTTAGGCCCAATAGATGGCAATTCACGACATTATAATTAACCCTTGATTGGGCCCAAGTCCAAAGCTGCAAAGCGAGATAGGGAGAGAAGGAGTTAAGGTAGGGGTAGCACGTCCAGCACGAGTCTTTGCTGGTCATGGCGTTGCACAGAGAATCAAATTGCCAGCCACCTTCGACAAATTGCGAGCATATGGCGAACGGCGATTGGCGAATGGGGAATGGCCTTTGGCGGAACCGAACTGCCGATGGTGTGTCCCTGGCCGTGTCCAGACCGTGTCCTGTCCTGCAGGCGCTTTAAATGCATCAAAATGTGCAGCCTACTTTCCGGCAGCACAACAGCCAACACAGGATAGCAGAATATGTCCACATGCCGACTAGGATATACCCTTCGGCTGTAATTTGTAATTTTGGGAATATCGGAGTAGCTTTTTTTTGTGTGGATTTTATGGCAAATATTTTGAAGCAAAAAGAAAATTGCACTCCGAGCTTCCCTTGTCTGTAACATACCCTGCATTTTACGAGTGTGTGTGGAGTACAGGGTAGAGCAAAAAATACAAAAAAAAAATAGTAAACAGCGCAAACGAGGGGGGGCAGCAACACACAGCAGCGACACACATTTTGCGGTTGATATGAATATCGATTGGGAACGTTAACTGTGCCAGCTTGCCCGGCCTCGCACACGGCCCCCAGCACCCCAGTCGCTGCTTCCCGTCTGTGGCTATGGCCATATAGCTTCGGGTCCGGCCCCTACCCACAAACAGCCCTGCCCTGCCGCCACTTTGGTCGCCGACTGCGCGGGGTGCATGGGGTATACACCACTGGTATGTAAACTAGAACTTTGTATAAATTTATGTGCACAACAATGTTTATGTTGTTGAATAAACGAGCAGTTTTGCATGCGGGGCATTGAGAATCCAGAGACGGGTTTGCTCTGCCTCTCTCTCTCTCTCTCTCTCTCTCTCTCTCTTTGTGGTGTGTGTGTGTGTGTGTGTGTTTGTGTGTGCAGTTGTAATGGCAGGATGCAACATGAAAATGGCGTGTGGCTGGTAACGTTTTATTTGCTCTTGCTCTGCCTCTCCCTCTGGCAATGGCTGCAGCACTGGCTACAGCACTGGCTCCAGCTCTTACTCTCTGGCACTGCATTTGCCTCTGACTCTCTGACTCTGACTCTGCCACTGACTCCATTTCCCTTTATTCCTTCAGTTGCATGTGTTTCGATGTGTGTGTGTGTGTGTGTGTGCGTGTGCGTGTGCATGTTGCATTGGCTTAAAATAGCAAAATATGCCAGGCACGAGTATGCGTAAAGGAAGAGAGTGCCGCCTGCAAAGTGCTTGCCTGCTGCCAAGCACAGAAAATATTCAATTTCAGCACGGATATCGCTTAACAGCCCTAAATAATGGACAATGGGCTGCGCCCCCTCTC